GAGAGCTGTTCAGCAGTGGAACTCTCTGTCCCGGAGTGTGATCCACTTGTGACACCGGGTCCTTGATGGAGTACTGCCTCATTCTTCCGCACGCTGCTGGAAGGTGTGATGGTGTCATAAATTAGCTGTAAATTAGTTAAATTAGCCTCCGCACATAAAGCGGTATTTAAATTTCCTACTAGACAGATATAATTGTATTTTCTGGCTGCATAGGTCAACAGCAAGCTAGACTATTAATGGTCGGGAGCTCACTCCGACCCGGGCTGGCTTCGAAATCATGACCTCTCGGTCAGTAGTGATTTAATGCAGCTGGCTACTAACTAGCTGCGCCACAGCCCGGTTCTATAATGCGATTTTCCTGCTTCTTGGCAGAATGGATTGCAGACCCCAAAATGATGCCGGTGTGAGTGAGTGCTTGGTTCTGCCTTGTCCCTTTAGGTGACGCCATCCCTTTGCTGAAGCCAGAGCCGGACCAAGTTGAGACGAGAGCGGAGTGGAGCCATTTGGACCATGATTGGCGTGAACCCAGGGCTCAAGGCGGGACCCAGACCTTCTCCAAAGGAACCCAGACGGAAGGTAACTTGCCTTTCTCTGGCCAAAGATGATAACGATGATGGATTGGACTCTGACATTTGGACCGGAGGGTGGCCGCTTGCGATGTTGCAAGGATGATGGTCTTGAGTTCCAGTGGATTCCTAAAGAGTAGGGCATTGACATCCGGTGATAATGCGGCATGTCTCATTAAGAGCCACATCCACTATTATAATGTGGTGAGATGTATTCCACGCTGGGAATGTGTATTCAGCAGCAGGGCAGCCAAGCGCAAGGGCAGATGTCTTCACTGTGTCTGGTTGTGATCCCCAGGTTGTGCCAGTCAGCTTTCATACGATGTTATTTCTAGCACCCACTTTTCCCTCCTTCTCTCCCTCTTTCCTTCCTTCCTTTGCTTTTTGATTCCATCCTTCTCTTTCTTTCTTTCCTTCCCTCCCTCTTTCTCTCCTTCTTTCACTCCCTCTCCTTCCTTCCTCCTTTTCTTTTCCTTCTTCTTTCTCTCCTTCTCTATCTCTTTCCTTCCTTCCTTTGCTTTTTGCTTCCATCCTTCCTTCTCTCTTTCCTACTTTCGTTCCCTCCCTCTTTCTCTCCTTCTTTCCCTCCTTCCTTCACTCCCTCTTTCCTACCTTCCTTTTTTTCTTTCCTTCTCTCCTTCCTTCCTTCTCTACTTTTCTTTCTTTCCTTCCTTTTTCTTCTTCTCCTCTTTCCTTCCTTCCTTCCATTTTGTCTTTCTTCTTTCTTTCCTTCCTTTCTTTCTTTCCTCTCTCTTTCTCCTTCCCTTCTTTTCCTTTCTTTCCTTCCTTCTCTCCTTTCCTCCTTCTTTTCCTCTTCCTGGATTAACCTATTGCTTCATTTGTTTCCATCCTTACCTTCTTCTCTTTGACCTTTCTTTCACACTCCCACCCTCATACGCTCAGTTTCTTATCCACCCTCACTCCTCCTCCCTCTTTCTCCTGTTCCTTCTGTCCTTTCTTCCCTCTCTTCTCTTTCTTTCCTTCTTTCACTTTTTTTTTTCTCTCTCTCCTTCCTTCCCCTTTCTGTCCTTTCTTCCTTCTTCCCTTCTTTCTTTCCTTCCCTTCCTCCCTTCTTCCTTCCCCTTTTCCTTCCTTCCTTTCCTTCTTTCCTCTTCCTTCCTTCTTTTCTCCTTTCTTTCTTCTCTCCTTTCCTCCTTCTCTACCTCTTTCCTTCCTTCCTTTGCTTTTTGAGAGCTCCAGTGCTTCGATCTGTTACTTCCTTGATGTCAATACCTCTCGCCTTCTTTCCCTCCTTGCTTCACTACCTTTCCTTCCTTCCCTTTTTTCTTTCATTCTCTCCTTCCTTCCTTCCTCCTCCTCCTCCTCCTCCTCCTCCTCTTCTTCTTCTTCTTCTTCTTCTTTTCTTCTTCTTCTTCCATCCTTCTTTCTCTTTCCTTCTTTCTTTCTCTCCTTCCTTTCTTTCTTTCTTTCTCCCCTTCTTTCCCTCCTTCCTTCCTTCCCTTTTTTCTGTATCATCAT